CCACTTCATCATCATCATCATCATCATCATCATCATCATCATCATCATCATCATCATCATCATCATCATCATCATCATCATCATCACCATCACGTTGTTATTGTAATGAGTTCTTACTGATTTCAAAACTGGAGTAATTTCAGTAGGTGGTTTGGTGGTTTTATGTTGAAATGTTTGACTGTGGATTGGGGGAGTGGGAGTGGAGGGGAGTTCAATCCTTTCCATCTTTGTTTGGGGTTTTATTTCAGTAAAGGGAGCGTGAATATAAAACAATTCGGTGTTAACTTCACATCTCTTCACCAACAGACACAGCCTATGTTCTAACTTTTATTTTATGGCGACTATCTTGCTTCCCCTTTTGTCAATACCACTATAAATGATTAATATATATATATATATATATATGCAAAACGTAACATAGTCTTTTGCATTAAACAAGTACTGAATAAAAGAAGAAATCGCACAAACACAAAACTACCTATTGCTATAGATCTAGAACCTCAAATATGAACTGGTTTACCGTCTTGTAAAGTTCAAAAACCGAAATTTTGTCCTCTGATCAAACCTGTTCCGTCAAGATGTCTATAACAGCTACAGTCAGTACAAAAACTTATTTTCTTCTCGGTCCTGATTTGATGTCGAATATTGATAAGTTATGAATAGACTGTGTTAATGTAATCGTTTCTGTTTTGAGGTAGCTGGTTTTAGAATAACAAAAAAGTGAGTTTTTTTCGGTGGGGAGTGGTTAATGATTGATAATACTTTTGAGGATTTACAATGATGATGATGATGATGATGATGATGATGATGATGATGATGATGATGATGATGATGATTTTCATCACTCTGTTTCTCAGATACTATGTTCCTGAAGAAGCCCTACGGCGAAGCGTTGAACATTTATAAAAAAAATCTGGTTAAATATGACTAGCCCTATCAAAGTCTCAAGATTACCTTTCCTACTTCAAAACAAGATGATGATGATGATGATGATGATGATGATGATGATGATGATGATGATGATGATGTACAAGAACTTATTTTCACTCCATGGCAGGCGACGGAAAAAACAACCCATCCCCAGACAGCCAATGCTCGGTACACGGCGGACGTAAACGTGACAATCACAGTACAGGATGTTGATGATAATAGGCCACGTTTTTCCTTTCCCACCTACAACGCATCTGTTGACGAAAACACTCAGAATTTAGTACCGATCGATTTACCCACAAAGATAGAAGTCTCTGACAAAGATCAGGTACGCAGGAAAGTGTTGAATGGCATATCATAATACATGTAGTAGCCTATGTATGGAGTCCTTTACTTATAATTTTATATATTTATACACACACAGACACACACGCACACATTCATACACACACACACAC